CAAGTGATGTGAGTTACTTAGACCAGGCAGGATGCCAGGTCTGAGAGAAAACCTCAGAAGCCAATCAAATCTAACCAATACCCCAGTTCGTCATTGTTTTGTTTTGAAGACTTGGCTTACTCCAATTATGAGTCCACAAGAAGTTTTACAACCTATTTCAGTGTCAAGGGTCAGTACAACTAACTTTGGTAACATTTTTCACAATCCGATCTCACTGAACTCCTACTGAAATGGAAAATTTTACTCCAACTACAATGCTAGTTACTATCTGTTAATACTCCACCAAGCAATGGGAGATAACTTTGGTAGGAACATATGGATGCAATATGGTTGTTGGCTGATATGAGAAAACCCTAATCATCCCATCTTATTAAAATTACATTTTCTTTTCCATTCTATGAGAACATATCATATGTCTTACTTGACGAAGGAACTTTACTATCATCTTATCAAAATTACACTTTCTTTTCCATTCTATGAGAACATATCATGTCTTATTTAGCGAAGGAACTTTACAATAGTTCCTGCGAAACCTAAGTGAATGTCATATTTACCCAAAAAAAGTGAAGGTCACATTGTGATAGAAATGTAGCCAAAAAAGCATCATGAGAACCTGTAATAACATTGACCATTAAAGTCTCACTATGAACTCAACCGTACAAAATATCTGGCACATGACGAATCCAACATTCGACACTAGTGATTTTTGTGCCATTCTAGAAAGAACATCCCAAAACCAATGATAATCCTCTTAGGTAGTCCAATTCATGAAGTTAAGATCAGCACACTTACGGCTTCATGAACTTATGGTACCTTATACTATCTACATTTATCACGATTGAATCATGACAGACACATAATGTAAATTTAAATCACGCAGACCTTATTAGCGAACATCAAACTGTCACTTATTTTCACGGTCTTTTCTACAGCTGAATGGAATAAAATATAAACGAACGTTTAAAATTTCCACTTTTCAAAAGCCAGGATTACAAATAAAGCCACTCCAAACAATACAATCATGTCACAATGATTAGAAAAAGTTTCAGAAGAATTTCAATTACTTAATCGCATTATAATTATGGACATACTTTTTGAAATTTTATTTATATACATGTTGAGACAATATATTAGTACAAGCAGTTATGGGCAAAGGGAACCCTGGCCAGGTTATAAAAATGCTAATCCGACAATTTAGTTAGCAGGGATGGGCGTGGGGTACTAAATTAAGGAGATAAGAACTCGCTGTCTTGATTACCTATAATTAGAGTGTTTTGAATAAAATTCCATATTTACATATAGAAAAAAATAGACAATCACTCAAAAAAACAATATTCAAGACCTAGTAAGCTCACAAAGGCTTTACTGCAAGACTGCTCCACAGTCCAATTTATGATTCAATGCAATTTTTTTTGGGTGAGTAAGATTCATTGCAATTACTACACAAAAGGAGCTCTTATCAGAAAATGAAGAAATGCTGCCAATTATAATTGACATGCTAGAGCAAGAACAAGGAAGAATCAAAATCACATGCTAGACCAAGAACAAGGAAGAATCAAAATCACTATATAAAAAACATAAGCCTCATTTTTAAAACCCCCAAATGTGAGAAAAATCAATTCTATCAAAAAAGTCATGACTAACATCAATACAATTCTAATTGCGAGAACTGTTCAGGACCATTCAATCACACGTTCATCATTCAATCACAAGTCAATCATCTAATATGATTTCCTCATGAAAAACATTAATCCATGGCTACTAATTAAATTTGACAATGAATGGCTCAAGGGAAAGCTTTTCATGAGTATTACATTGTATTTGAGATGCCGTTGGCACCATCTTAATGCATTCAAATCAATAGTTAACATTTTAGCACCTTTGTCATCAAAGAAGATAGATCCACTAAGTACTGCTTTTCACATTTGACTAAAGTACAACTTCTACAATACAGAAAACTTTTTTATGATACATTGAACATAAAAAAGATTGAATCCAATAGATCTAAAAACATTTATGAACGTATTTATTTATTAATTTATTGGATAGCACAAAGGAATATACAATGGGAAGCACATTTGGCTGGAAACAAAACTACATTGCAAGGAAATTGTTACATGAGGTTCCTAGAAATAAAATGTTTGCGTCAGCATAAATAGAAGACAATGCACCATTAGTAGAAAGCTAAGAAAATCACAGGAACTTCCAGATAAGAAAATCACAGGAACTTGCCAGATTTAGCCAGCTCCATAGCTTTGATGCTCAACGTAGCAACATAATGTACATTTCGAAAATTCTAACAAGCACAAAAAAATTTTCTATTTTGGAAAAATATGACAAGAAGTGAATCACAAGACAAAAACAATAACTGGAGTATTTTAAATTTTAATTAAATTACAAGTTAAGTTTTAATGGATTTTAAATATCATCCACTTGTATGATATACTATGTTGTCAATGTCCAAACTCTTTAAACAAAGGGTTTCAATCAAGTGAGACATGGCAGAGAAAAGTATAAACTATGGTGAACATTGAAGATTATTTTGCCTAGTTGCATTTTGATATGGCTAAATTGGAGAAATAAATCATTGCATACAAGAATAATGGAAACTGAGTATAATCAAGTAAATGTGATCCTTTATTGGTGGATTCTTAGAAAGAAAATTTTCCCACAATGTTTGAATCTTTTCTCTATTCATTTGCATCTGATTCTTTGGCTCTATCCGTCTTTTCAAAGACTATCATTGTTCATTCAAAAAATCAACACATATATGGATAACTAAGAAACGAAATCAATGAGAGGTCGACGAGCTGACATTGCCGCGGGTGTTGAGCATAATCAGGTTAAGATCATAAGACTACATGTTAAAAGGATTTCTGATATATATCGGGTATTTGCAGAGAACAATACATGATCAAACATAAGGCAATAGCAATGCAAATAATAGAAGTGGAAAATTTGGATGTTAAAATTCACAAGGGGAAAGAAAAATTAAAGGAATATGACAAGGCGGCTCCCTCGTGAACACACACAAGCATTGAACAAACCTTGGACAATGAAAGCGAAAAGTTTGAATCGATCAAAAAGGTTATAATTTTTAAGGATGATAAAGAATTAAATTACCCCAAATTGAGTCCTTAAATGGTTGACTTATTGTCATGGAGAGAAAACATAAAGATCATAAAAGACCACCATTAATTCATTGGCATCCTAAAAATGGTAGTGAGCATTGAACCACATCAGTTAAAACTAGCAACTTGCCACTATTAACATCTAAGAATGTGTATTGTTCAGAAAATTACAAAAAAGAATATTTAAAGAAGACAAATAAGTTAATAGGACCAAAAGAAATGTATCACTGATCAAAGAAAATTAAGATACCTTGTAAGCTGAGAATGTGAGGTTTCTCGCACAAATTCTATCTCCCATCTCAAAATGATAAGTAAAAATTAATGAAACAAAGGCAACCAGATACAGGAATAATACACAAAACTCATCAGCCAAAATTATCATATTTTTCGGCTCTTTTCTAATATCAAAAGTAGGGCATTATACAATTACCTAAAATCTACAACCAAAAATAAAGAAAAGCCTCCCAGTTCCAATATTTATAAGTGAAATGCCTAAACCCAATTTCAAGATATAGAAACTTGAAAGTGGTGTGGATTTTTGACTCGTCGAAAAAGGGTTAGAGGGAAGTATTTTCTCTCTGGAAGGATGAACGAGAAGCTGATTCCCAATGCTTTAATGGGAGACAAAAACCAGCAACTTTTCTCAGACTTAACTGACCCACATTTCATCAAGTCCCGAGGACAGAGAGGCTTGTGCTACATCACTTTTATGGGTTTCACATAAAACACCCTTAGATTCCAAACTGAAAAACCCTAAAATTGGGCATAAGACATGGCTTCCATATTCATATTAAACACAGTAGTGCATATGACATTCTTTGCGCAATGCTAAAAACTACTTGAGAATAAATTATGTTTTCCCACGATCACAGACCCATGCACTTTGACAAGTGTTACCAATTTATAGTCTGTCTTACTTAAACGGGATTTCTAGATTCTGATTCATGTGGAAATAGGTTCTCTTTATTTGGCATAAAGAGTGAAAGACTTTAAGATAACAAATTGCTTCCCCTCATTCATATTTTATGTTTTAAATGTCCATAAATATAGCCATCTGTTTTTTAAATTGCGGGATGCGGTCTCAATGCAGTCAGTTGCATCGAAGGGCCGATGCAGCAATATAATGATGGATCTCTACTGATATTTTTAACAGGGAAAATTGGAAAGGGAGGTTCAGCAGATTGGACAACAAATAAAAAGATTTAACTGAAGAATGTAACTCTGTATTAGGAAGGAATTTGTAAATGCCTATTTAAGAAAGGGCACCTTGATATGGAAAAACCACACTCATATTTATTGTATTCTACAAAAGACTGTAATAGCAAGCCACAGTGAGAGAGAAATACATTCTCCAATAATCAACATTCCATGATGAAGCAAAGTTATTATTAACAAATTTCTTTCTCAAAAAATTACAAAATAATGAAGGCGGAAATATGGAAAAGCATATGTGCCTAGTCTAACCATACATGAAATTACAGGAACCCTAAACATTTCCCTTTCAATTGGCCAAACAAATACTATTGAGGGGTTAAAAAAAAAAAATCGAGAGAGAGAGAGAGACAAATGGGCTAATCCTTATTTATTCAGCCACCAAACCCAAGTCTAGAAAATACAAACTAGCTTTAAAATATGTTCAAAGTAATAAAGAAACACAAGGCGAACATTTAGATAAATTATCCAAATCATTTAAAATAAATTATCCAAAACATTTAAAGTAAGGTAGCCCTTGTGAAAAAACAGTAAAATTAACTAATACCAACAAATAAAATAGATTTTATATTATATAAAAGAAACATCAAGTTATCACTACTAATCAGAAGGAAAGAGAGATCGAGCGTTATCCATGAAAGGTTCAGAAAGCCTTGCCTGAAGCACAAGTCCTAGAAGACCCACTGCAAAGATTGTTAAGCTGCATCTCTATCTTGTTGAGAAATGTCGTGGCCTCATCAAAAGGCTTAGCAAGATCAGATTTATACTTCACCAGAACCTCACAGTAAGATTCCTTCACAAAACAAAACAAAAAACCATCAAAAAATTTAGCACCAGCAATCAAGAGAAAGTGAAAGAAAATTAAATTTAACAGAAAAATCACAAATAAAGCTCATCTTCTTTCTCTGAAGGAAAAAAGCTCACCATGAACTGGTCCAGCTCTGGATCAGCTCCTAAACACCCAGTTACTGAATTAGAATTACATGCATAGTTGTGATTTTCACGCCTGATCTCCTCCAACAGGTTAGCTATTTCTGGTGGTGCCCCAACCTGATATACAAAGAAGAACACCAAAAACAAAGGACACAAATTATTATTATTTCAATACCTACCAAAGGTACAGTTACAAACTGTATATATTACAGACTTCTAAGAAAAGTTAAAAAGCTTTATGTTATATATTAAGGAAAGAGCACAGCTCCTAACTAAATAAACCATAAATTAACTGAGATAATCATATGGAAAGAGAGTAACAATGGATATTAAGTTCAGTAAAATTATGCAATAATGTCTCTTCTTCTGCATTATTCCATGTGGATAGCGACACTTCATAATCTTACAGGAATTTCCTATGATTTCTCGAAAAGGATCACACGTAAACTTACTGCTGAACAAACCGTCCAAACAAGAGAGAGAATGACATCACACAGTAAACAAGTTAGGGGGAAGATCACTTGGTTAGAAAGAGAAAGAGATAGAGAGGGAAAGAGTACTTGGGTTCCAAAAGAAAAAGATCAACAGCTTACGATTCTAGAACAGTAACGTTATGAAGAGAGATCCATTAAAGGGCAAGAAAGAAGAAGAAAAATCAAGAGAGATAACTTTATGTAGTACACTTTCTTGTTCACCTTTTGGCATTCTATGTAAGCTTCAAGCAAGGTAGGATAGCGAGGGTGGGTCGCTATTTTCGCCTTAATGGAGGTGGCCACTTCCTGGCCGTAGACCTCCGAAATCGAATTCTCGCCTGTCGCCGGTGGAAGCTCAGCCAGTTGCTCCATGCCGCCACCGGCCGCAGCCCCACCACTGCCGCCAATCTTATCCCTGTTGAAAACATAGGAAGATAGATAATCTCCGGCGGCAGCAATTAGACTCTCAGGTGGCAACGAGGACCCCATGCCTGCTGAACCTTCTGCTGATGAGTAACCAATTGCAGAGTGAAGCCCATAGATTTCATCCATCTCCCTCTCTCTCACTCTCACTTGTCAACTTTTTATCAACAGATCAGAGGAGTGAGAAGAAGGGAGGGAATTGCCCATGAATGGTTTATCTCCTCTAGCCCCCACCTAGAGAGAGAGTGTGTTTTAGAGAGAGAAAGAGAGGTTTATGATGAGAGGAGGGGGGGGGGGGGAGATTGCACTGTTGGGCAATGGAGTTGATTTTTTGGGGGGGAATTTTGGGTAAATAATGGGTGGTTTTATTAATTTATTTTGTCTGCAACTTCATTGGGGGGTGTGATTTTGGCGTACAAACAAGAATGTTTATATGGGTTTTCGTAAAGAAGCCCCCCTGGTTTTTTCTTAGCTCATGCACATAATAATTGAGGACCTGACCCAAATGCCCTCGATCCTTCCAGAAAGTTACCATGTTGGACACCATTTAGTGCAGTTGACTATATTATATCAAAAAATCAGCATTTATTTATTTTTACTTTTTTTATATAGATAACACATTTTTGGTAGTAGGGTAATCTTATTTAAATATTTGTAGCTAATCTTATTTATACAAGTCCTTTTCATGGGTGCAGTTTGCAGTTTGTATAAAGCGTCAACTTTAATCAAAGTAATGGGCCTCTCAATTGCGCTGGAAGTTGTGGTTCTCAAACCATTATACCTGTCTAAAGATATATTTGTAACTTTTCTTCATAAAATTCAAAGTTCTAGAAAATATATGAGATACAGGTCCCTAAACTATTATGATGGTCTACGAATCCATCTCTGTCTCTAATTATAAAATTTAAAATTTTTTAAAAAATAAAAATTAAACATATTTTATTTAAAAGTTTTAAAAATTGATAGTATGAATAATATGTTACAAAATATACTACTTTCAGGATTTAAATTTTATTTATTTTTAACATATATAGATCTTGAGGTTGAGATGATTAAAATGAGAGTTTTTTAGCATTGTAATAGCCTTCTCTAGTAGATTTTGAAGTACACCTTACTTGAATAGTATAAGGTTGACACTTTATAGGCATTTTAATAGGGCGTTAATTATTTTTAAAAAATTACAAAGGGTATGTCATTTTTAGTCAGCTCCCAAGTTAGTACGCAAATACATAATGAGAGCGAGAGCAATAAATGCAAATCCCAACTCACTTCCCACCCCCTCCTGTCTCTCTCCCCCCAAACCCACTTCCTGTCTCTCTCTTCTCTATCGTGAAAATCTTGCTCCTTTAGTACCTTTCCCTTTTAGTTCCTTTTAGGTGAGTTTCAATCCAACCCGCTTTCGAAAAACAAAAATTGGAAAATCAAAAGCAAAATCGGTTCCAACCCAAATTGGAGAGCCGATATTCCATTGCCATTCAAGTTAAACATCTGGTTTTTGAGGGAAGAATACAAGCATGTTTTGTTAAGAAAAAGAAACGAAGAAAAGGGCAATGGAAATTGCTTTTTGAGCATGTTTCTTGACCGTTTGGTATGGAAAATCCGTGCTTCAAAGGCCAAAATTCTTTAGAATACACTATTCAATTTTTATTTTGAGAGATGCAAAAAGTTGAAAATATTTATAAAAGGTTGACACCTTAATTATTACGATTAAGGCGCATCTAAAAAATCCATAAAAAAAATGAATGCTATTTTTTATGTTGGTAAATCATCTAATTGATGATCTCGAGGTCGAGAAGTATGGATATAAAAATTAATAATTTCAAGTCCCAAAAATAGTACATTTTGTAATATAGTATTTGGACCATCCATTTTCGATATTTTCAAACTTTTATAGATTTGCTTGATTTGATCTATTTTTTGAGTCTAAACTTTTTTTATTAAAGATGAAAGTAGATTCTTGAGCCATCCAAAAAATTTAGATACTAAAATTGCACCTTATGATAAAGTTTAGAGGTGCGTCTTAGTTTTGATTATTTAAGGTTGCAAACTTATGCCAGCCTCACCCTCAAAAGATTCATGCCACTTTTCTCTTTAAATGATATAAATGAGAATAGTGTTTTCTTTAAAATATGATATTGGGGAATTTTCTGCTTGAAGTTATGATATCGTTGGCAAACAAGACCATCTTGCTTATCCCTTGTTGGTAAATCGGGATAACCCAAATCTCTACTTGATGCGGTCAGCACCCTACAACAATGATTCAAACACCCAACAAAATATATGTAATAACAATAATGTGTATTATATTTGGGAAAATCATATAAATAAGATAACCAAATAAAATGAAAAATCTCCAAACCACAACACAAATAAAAAATGGAAGACTCACATTTAGGTCGTTCAGCCAAAATGGACTATATCCACGAACAAAGAGCAATGATGCATTCACTATCAATAGAATAAATTTACAAAGTCTAGGTTTTGTAAATATTACCTCATATAATAGCAAGGAAAAGCTCAAATAGAAATTTTCTAACATCATATCAGCAACAATCGACTCTTTTTTAGTTACCATGGACCAAGACCATCATCGTGAAAAAATAACGATGAAGAATCGACCCAATACGAGGCTACAATGGTACTAGGATTTGTGCAAAAACCCCCAAATTTTAATCCTCCAAGTTTCTGTACATTTTTGCCTTTTTTTGTATCTCTTTCCAAAAATGTGTTTTATGGGCCTCCATAGATGACCTATTTTTTGTGATAAAAATATCCCTCAAGAGAT